TATTATTATTATTATTATTATTATTATTATTATTATTATTATTATTATTATTATTATTATTATTATTATTACAGCAGGTACAAGTTTTAACCAAAACCCTAAGTATGTGTTAAATATCTGCTGTAATATTGCCATGTTTCGTAGCTCTGATAGTGTTATTTCTGATTGTTTTTACCTAGTCTTAAAATTACTGAAGTCTCGGAATGTGATGCACAAAGTGGTTCTGCATGGTTTATGGTTTATTTTCTGTTTCCATTATCTGACGTGATATAAAGATGGATAGTTTTCAACATTATGAATGTCTTTTTCCTTAGCATTTTCTTGTTGCACTTCCGCTTTTGGGGTGAGTGAAACTGTAAAAAGAAATTAATAACGATTGCCAGTATTCAGGGCTGAAGATTAATGTTCTCTTTTGGCTGATGGAAAAGAAGATACACATATTGAAAATGCAGTATGACATTAAACATGGCTATTATTTAAACATGAATCTGTTAAAATGTCTCAGCATGAAATGGGGGTGGGTGGGCGGTGTAGTTATTCTTAAATGTTTCTACCATGGGAAGAATCCTGTTTTTAGACCTTGTGTACCCACACCCTGCCTGCTGATGTTAGTCAGCAAGAGATTACTTTTGACCACGAATGTGAAATGTGGAAGCAGACTCTGATCCTGCAATCATTTCTTGGTGTCCCGTAGTGCTCTCCTGCCTTTGTGATTGCAATTCCATTTGTTCATCAAGAGAGCCTTGTATGAACAGGGCATTAGCAAAAGTGACAGGGCGTTCTGGTATGCTCTGGTTTTACATACAACATCCTGCTGTCCTGACAGCTTTTATCAAGCCCCAAATTTGTCAAATATTTTCACCGGGGTGTGATTTAAGTGGCACTTTAAAAGCAGTTGGTAACCCAATCCCCTCCCTGCTGTTGACGTCAGTAACACAGCAGGCATCTGAAGGCTAGGAACCAAATTGAGTTTTTCTGCATACTTCTTGACTGGCCAGCATGGCTCAGTATGAAGCCTTCTATGTGGTTTCCTGCCCCTAAGTTGAAATGATAAGAATGGTGCTTCTGTATTCAGAGCAGGCAAGAAATGGGCACACAAACGTATTTCCTCTTAGCCTTTTGGGGATGATGAGGTGTAGAAAAAAATGGTCTCCACAAACAATATCACTGTGGAGGCCAGTACAGTGATTATTTATTTGAAATATTTTTGCCCTGCCTTTTCTCCTTAGAAAAGGACCCAAGGTGGCTTACAGCATTTAAAGACAATATTTAAGAACAAAACAATGAGTATACAAAGGTGACGTACATCATTAAAAGGCAACATTTAAAGCTAAAAATAGTAAGTATAGAAATATTAAAAAGAAACAAACAAAACACCCCTGTTAGAAATGGGAAACACAAGCAATACTAAAAACACATTATAACAACAACAGAAACAATGTGCCACTCGTCTAGTAGGACCTCTGTGGTCAATTTGTCTTAGTTTCTGTGGATGACAGTTTTCTTTCACAGATGAACTTCATGCCTTTGAAGAAAATAGATTATAGTAATCCATAAAAATGTGCACTAAATAAATCTGTTAGTCTCCACAATGCCAGAAGCCTATTCGCTTTTTGTTGCTGATTTCTTCTTTGAATATTGGGGCTGTGGAGACCAAATAATCAATAAGAAATACTGGAAGCACAGAACTGTAGCATAATACTTTACACACTTAGTATAATTTTCTTTGTGAATTTCTTCTTCTTTTGGACCACACCAATATCAAAGTTCGCTTTTCTACTACCTTTTTCTAAGTTTGTCTTTCTCAAATTTAAACCACTTAGTTTTCAAATACACAATAAAGAAATACCCATAGTAAAGAAATAAAAGTATTCAGATCTGGTTTTGATATAATTAAAACCTGATGAAATTGGATTCTAAATCCCTTTTATAACTATTAGGCTTTGTAATTACTGTAGTTCAAGCTGTAAACAATGGTTGAAATGTAGAATTGTGCCGAAAGACTGACATGAAAGACAGAGTTAAATGATTAAATGTAGTTCTTTGGTTTGTTATACTCACTCAACTTGGGGGGGGGGGACATATGATTGTGATTTTTAACTGTCTTCCATAGCAATTACCAGAATCATGCCTTTTAAAAATAGAATTTGTGAGATTTATACCCAATATTTCATAAC